ATCGAGCTCTATATTTTATAGACTGTTCAAAGTATTGATAATCAACAAATTTCAGGACTAAAGTATATTACTAATCGTGTTTTTGTCATGATGTTTGGCATATGTGTTTTGGTCTCTGTGACCCACGGATAAAGGATCTTTCTTCTTCAACATAAACCTCTGTAAAAAGTCATATAAACACTGATCTATCTTTTTAAAATAACTAGGACATTTAACTATCTCTATATGTTATGTCTATCTTTTCAACAAACCCTACTGCAAAGTAAGAAAATATTTTGAAATTCAGTACCATGATATATACTATCAGATATAACTAAAAAGCTATGAATGAACTCGATCAAAGATTTATATGTAATATGAGTACAGTTTACAAAAAGACAGCATAGAAATAAAGATTCCTATCATGTTAAGAGATACACAAAGAGTACAACGGATGCTTGTAGTAATGCACTATGCTGTTTTGTATTAAAAAAAAAATTGGATAAGAAGTTCAGCACCTAATTACTAAACCAAACTAGGTTAAGACATGCGCCTTGCGCAGGGTGATGAGATGAATATTGAAAATTAGCAAAACAGAACTGTTATCTTTGTTTTTGAATTTGTTCAGTCACGTATATTATAGAAAACCATTATAAGCTTCAGTCGGTTTATGACGACAACACCAACTGGAATAACATTTATAAATTTGGTTATGCAATATAGTCCATAATCTGATTTTTTTTGTCCTTAATGAATGGAGCCCAGCTTTTTCATAGTGGTGGAAAAATTTTAGAGTGAGAAAAAGACCCATTCCAATTGGGCTAGCGTCGATGTGGTCAATTAGACAACCATTCTGAATACATATAACACAGTTTGAAAAAGAAAAAAAGTACATCGACATAAACGATGCATAGAAAACATGAAGGGGATCAGAGTTCTACTCGAAGGATTTTCATTACAATTGACGTTGATATAACTCACGAACGCAAGTCAAATTACTCCCTTCTCTTTGTTTTGATCTTAGATTATTAACTATTTCGTGAGTTGTGATGATTTCCGTTGTATATTGTTCTCTCTTTCGACTGTCTTGAATTAAAAAGAAAAACTAAGTGAAATTGATACTCTGTTTGTTAGATCATGCTTCAAGAAAGATTAAAAAAGGATTCAAGAGCATAACAACACCGTTTCACTATATACCTTTTTTTTAAAGAAAAAGCTTTCATATATGACATCGAGCTACGACTTACAGTCATACAGTTCGGGAGATAAGCTTTCAAAGAAAATACACGATGCTTGCATCTTAACATGAAATAGAAAGAGTAAGAGATGAAAAGGTTCAAATAGTACTCATGATTAACACAATTGGCTGAAAGAACAATTTAAGCATCTTACAGTTTGTGTAGCCTTTGAAGGGAGAGACAGGGGGGGGGGGGGGTTTAATGGCATCCTTTTATGGCTATTATGGCAGGATTGTTGCCAAATTAGTGAGAGTTAAAGGAATGTGAAGATATCTAATCTCGCTCAATCACGCAATACCATAATTGCTTAATATGGTACTAAATTGAATTAATTCCAGAGACTCGCAATATTAGATCCAATGATGCACTAATTAGATAATATTTTGAGGTCGATTTTTTCATGAAAAAGATTCGGAAACTAATGAGATTAAGAAACTAATAAAGTTAAATCGTAAATTTGAATTAATAGCGATGAGAACGAATCATAAAATGACATGATTTGACAATCCTAATATATTATAGGAAACAATAACATTCTCAATTCTAAAGTTAGAAAATACACTTTATATTTTATTTTCACATTATATCACTTCTTAACTTCGGTCAAACTTATTGAATTGCATGCAAGTTTAGTCATAAAGAGATTGAGATGAGTGGAAAACACGTACTATAGTTTTTTGGTAACCTTTTTATAACCTAACCTATAGATTGATATACACATTTTTAGTTATAAAAAATATTAGTGCTATTTTCATTCACATAACGTAAAGATTTTAAGAAATCCTTCCTTATAGGACATAAAAGTAATATTTTACATTGGGGATGGAGATGATAACTTATATTCAAAATTCCAAAATATATAATTGAGAACTAATTTATCAGGCAATATTTTAGATGGACTAATTTATTCATAAGCTGCAAATATATAGAACTCTGTTTTTCTCGTTAAGTAAAACTCCTTTTGGAATGTTTGTAGAACAACTAACTTCTCGAGTAAACAGTTTAGGACTCATAGATTACACCTGAATGTGTTTTGCCCGGCCTAATTTCAAAAGTTTTAGATATAGTTTCAATGTCCGTGAAGCATGAATATACAAAAGATGTAAGGAGTATCTCGCCATTATGTTGTAGTTCTTCGAAATTATGTTTTTCTCGGAACAAATTCACGAGATTCAGCTATAGTTCTCATGTTCCAACTTATGTTTTTGCAGTTACTTCTTACATTATCACCAACGTCATGATATAATTTACGCCAGGTATACTAACTTCGAAATTACAGCACAAAAGAAAGTTCGTATTTTAAAGCAACGTCTTTACCATGTATACCATTTATAAAGATATAAAATACAATCCAATTCATAAATAATTTACTCTTTGAAGGTTACTCTTATCAATTGCTTCCCTTTTAATAATAAGGGGATATCTGAGTTTATATACCTGACATACAAACAGTGGTTCACTGGATTACTGAGCTTAGGCATCATCTTTATTGCATCTAAGTGTCTCTTGCGCAACCATTAAAACATTTGAAAGCTTTTGTTAGTTCAATAGACATTTGCAATATTCCAGTAAACATTAAACCTTATGTTAACTAATTTTCATATAAAAATGAAAGCATAGCATATCATTTTGCTAAGAAACATGTGTTTAAAAAAAATAGATATAGTAATCTCCACAAGCATATTAAATAACATGATTTATAAACAAAAAAGAATATATTGAAATATATATTATTTTGTAAATATTTTATCAAATGACAATGATTTTATAAATATTTATGTATATATATGATAATATCATTTGATATATAATTATATAAGTACTTTACCATTTCTACAATTTATAGTATTAGAATATTCAAAAATTTAATAATATATAGTTAATAATTTTGTTTTCTTTCTATGATTATGATCCATCTATCCAAATTTCTTCTTCATTTTCCCCTAACATCTTCATGCAAAAAAAAAAAACTTTTAACACTTTTTTAGAATTATTGTATACAAAACTTATCCACTTCGTATTATCTATCATTATATTCACTCTAATAACAAATCTAACTAAATCAATGCACACCGAAGGAAAAAAAACTATATTTAACGTACTACCACTAAAAAAGACCTTTAAAATATAACTGAGTTTGTAACCGAGTTTTTCAATATAGTTGAATCATCAATTCTAACTTCTAACGATTTTATAGGTTTTTGGCCAATTCTAAACAAAGGAGTCACAGTTGAACCATTCCAACAAGCCGGTTCAAGTAATAAAACAATGAACATCATTTTGTTACCTAAATATCTAAAAGCAATATGCCAACATAATTTAAACACAATTAAAAATCATGGTCACTTTTAATTTTATCTTTAAAAGTAAACAGTTATCAACTATCCGTACGGACTACGGACGTACGAGTCAAAACCTAGTACTAATTAGGAAGCAATATATTTTGAAAAGATGTCGACAGGGTTTTGAATAGTATTCGCTGAGCGCAACTTATTTTCAAATGTAGAAAAAATTGTTTTAGTTAACTGAATATAAAAATATTCATTAACAATATATATTTTTAATATTTTCCTTTAACAATATTTGTTGGTTTATCTACTTAATGGCATGATCACGATATTCTTGGTTTAATTTACAAAAAAAAAAAATTAGTTTGTGGTTATAGTAAGATATTCTTGATTTATCAATTTAACAAATTAGTTATATTGAATATATTATACAAGATATTTGGTTGGTTGAACAATAAATTATTTATCAAATATATATATGTCATATTATTTTACATGATTAGGGATATGAGATTTTAATATTTACGTTAACAATGCACCATTTTCATCTTCTCCAAATGTTCACTTGTTCTGTTCATAAAGTAATAAAATTATTAATAACTGTTCAAGGTTAACAATCAAATAATGTCTTAATAGATCCGACATGTTCAAAGCTAACAACAAAATAAACGTAGCGAGCATCATTGTTTATTTTCTTATGCTTTCCTCGGCTGAAAAAAAAAACAGCTCAACCAAAACACACAGAGGTCAGTTTCTTTGATAATCCCTCCACTGATCTTAATTTCAAATCATCGATTTCAAGTGGATTTGCGAACACATGAAAAAGATGGTTGGTTGTAATCTGAGTTACATACGCTTATTAAGAAGAAATTGACATTAATTTGATATTTATTAAAAGTCATAGAATTTACGAAGTTGATATTAGATTATTTTGGTATAGAGTAAAATTTGTGTGAAGTTAATGAGTTGTTTTAATGTATAGATGTTGACAATAAGGTATTTCTAATATTGAAAATAGCTTGTAATAATTTAACATAATTAATGAATAGAAAACATTTATGTGATCAATTTCTAGTAGATGATCCAAAATGAAATATCAACTTGGTAAACATCAATTAAATATCACACATTAAAAGAAGTGATCACTTTTATTTTCATAGTATAAATAGATGTAAACAACCAGTAAAATACTTGATGTATTTTTCAAGCAAAATGCTGAACCTCTTTAACATTTAAAAGATGAAAATTTTGAATATTAGAACATGACTTATGAAATTTGCAGAAAAATTTGAACAATCATGAGATATACGCATTGAGAAAAAAAAAACTGGATTCAGGAATTATTGATATATTGGCTAATTGCAAAAGGTCATATAACAAGGAGGAAAAAAAAAAGAGAACAAACAAGGAGAAGAATGAGGTGAAGAAACCAAATACTAAACAATGCATAAAAAACTAAAAAAAAAAAGAAAAAACTCAAAGGGAAGATGATAGATCAATCACGACTGCAACTCTTAGCTTCAACCTCTTCCGTCTGATCCTCATCATGATCTACAGTCACCACGTTATCTTTCTCATCATCGTCAAGCACCGCGGTTTTGTCTTTCTCCTTTGCAATGAGACTAGAGCCCGAAACATTCTTATCATCAGGAAGATTGGTGGTTGGAGGAGGATGAGAGAGAGGAACGTTTCTAATGATTGAATCAAGCGGGTTATGGCTGTGAAAACGGAACCGAGACACAAGAGGACGCACTAGCGTGTTCATGTTCCTAGTTTCTTCTCCAGTGACTCCGTCATTCAATGATGGGTAAGCGCTGCTGTTAATCTTGGTGCCACCCATGGAGTTAGATGGACCAAGAGTGAGCTCAAGTGATAACGAATCTTGTGAGCTACTGGTTTCGTTCTTGTTGCTGAAGCTTCCTGTGGAATTAGCTGAACCAAGAGAGTGGTCAAGTGAGAAAGCATGTGAGTTATTATACCAACTGTAAGATGGTAAGGGAACTGATCTTGAAGAAGAATCATAGCTAGTGAGAGAACGGTATGGAGTCGCATGAGGAGCCATGGTGGTGATTCCACCATTGAACAACGAATATGGGTAGTCACGGCTGCTACCGCCTCCTCCAGACTTAAAATGACCAACAGGGATCCCCAGACGATCAAAATTCGGGTGGTTATGGTTGTGAGTGACAAAGAGAGTCCCTGAAGAAAATCCATAACTAGTGTTCCTGTCAACGTCCGTGTCTCCACTATTGAGTATTGGGAAAGTGGGGGTGTTTTCGACTGATATGGACTCAACTGGATCACGAGAGAGCCAACGATACATATCATTTGATAAGGGATTTTGTGAATACCCACCCAAGTCCACCGAATTAGACGTGCCTTGTCCAGGAGGATTGCTTGGCTTCGTCTTCTTCAGCTGCATCTCCAACTCTTCGTCACGCGTGTGGACTCTTTGGTGACAGTGTAGGGACCTAAGGGTTGAGAACCTTCTCTCGCAGGTGTCGCAAATATGGATAATATTATCGTTTTCCATCATACTTTTCTTTTCTGTTTGGACAAGACCTAATACGACACTAGACCACCTCTCAGTAATCTTGCTCTGAGAGACAACCTCATGAGGAGACCTTATTTATGCAGATGATTCATTATTGTTTGGTGTTAACTCTTAAGGTATAAAATCTGCGAGGATAAAATGACACCATAAAAACTACTTTGCATTTTTAGTTTTTTTTCTGTCATCTAATAGTTTTCTTCTAAAGATATGTTTCTTTATCTAGAGTTTGTTCTTTAGTTTTTTCTTTTTCTAACATCGTATTTTATGTGTGGATACTGGATATCTACCTATTTAATTTATATGACTCACTATATATTTACTCATTTATGTAAAAAAAAATATTAGTATATTATATATTTATTAACTAATATGTTGATATATAATAACAACTAATAGTCCAAGTAGTCAATATATAATATTTTATATATACTGTTATGGAAAGATAGTATTATTATTTCACATACATTGTATTATTTCACACACATTCTCCAGCTGTGTCTTAGTAAGAGCACCCCCATCAGTGAACCGATGGGGGGAGATTCATAAGTAAAAAAATTAATTTTTTTTTCTTTTTTCATTTACTTTTTAAAAAAAAACATATAATGGACCAATCGCGGGCCGCCACGTGGCATGGGACCCGCGTAACAGTGTTGATACAAGTTCATGAGGAAGAGCTTTTGGAGTACAGGTTCATACAAAATCTTTTTTTATTATTTTTTGTTTTGGGGAATTGTGTGAACCCGCCCCCCATTAAATACTCTAATGGGGGTGCTCTAAGCTTTCCTATATTTCCTTTTTTATCATGGCTGAATAAAAATCAGGTTTTTCCTTAATTAATTGTTTTGTTGTTTTCTGTTTCTTACATTGATATGTTCTACTAGAAAATGGCAATGAAGAAAATATTAAATATTATATAGAATATAATGCATGAACTTTAAACAATAACAGTTTATAAAATATGTTTTGAGCTATATTTCGAAGATATATGAAGAATACCATTAACCTTTTCTCAAAACAAAATACCATTAACGTCAATTATTTCGTTAAAGACCCTATGAAAATATTGGCTAAAAAATCCCGAGTCAACGTGCTATTTCCCACAAAAACTATTATACATCATCAGATATCTACCAAACTATAAATTCGTTTCATATCTCCCTAAATTAATGTTACAAGCCTAATTTTCTCTGAATCAATAATTCAAAACTTATTTTTTCCTAAAATTGATAATTTGAAACTTAACTATACGTAGACGATAATTTTAATCGGTTTATTATTAACTAAAAAAATTTAAACTGATTAAACCAAACAGAAGTTTAATTTTATCAGCAAAATAATACATATTCTTCTTGCATTTTACCACAAAACATGTCCCTCCTTCTGAGTCCATAACAAATGAAACACAACAGCAAAGTCTATAATTCCAAAGAAGAATATGTACTTTCAAGAGCTCGAAAACGAGATCAAGAAATCAATCGAAACCTTAGACGACACAATTTTCCAGAAGCTGAATTGGATTTTATTTAGTGAATCTTTTGATTAAGCTTCTGATGACGACAAAGCTGACGAACATTCACAAACTACACGGAAGATGATCCTTTCCATGATCAAGTATGAAATCAATTGAGTCCTCTTGTCTCTACGGATTGAGGTTGAAAAGGTGAACACACTAAACATGAATGGGAAGAAGAACAAGTGTGGTGGGTTGTTGAAGCAAAAAAATATGTAGCTATGGAGGTGGAATAGGTGGTTATGGTAAAGCCGTAAAGGTCATAGCAGTGGTAAAAGGTAAACTCAATGGCGAAGGTTGCTGCTCTAATCCCAATTTATGACCATATTTTATTTGGAGTATTTGTTTCTTTTAGCTGTTGTATTTTGTCAAATAACTTATAAGTATTGCTTATTGATGCAGCAACATCGTAGCTTAAACGCCAATTTTTCTTTTTCTAGTTATTTCCTTTTTACTTAAGGTTTATGTTTTGCTTTTTCTATTAGGTTAAGGATTTTAATGACAGTTTAAGAGTCATATATAAATAAATCTCTTATGGCTTTTGTAAGATATACTTTGATTAATAAGATTTACAGTTTCATTTAAGCTTTCTTAAGCACCGCGTAGAGTATTCACAACCATAAGAGTTCTAATGAACACTGTGAAGAGTATTCGCGTCATCTATCTTGTTTTCTAAGTTACCTTCAAGAACACGTTACCACCTTCTCGACACACACTTGATCTTAAAGATTCATAGCTTCCGCTCTCCATCAGTTGGTATCAGAATCAGTACGTTTTTGGATTTCTTCTTTCGTTATCATGGCAAAGAAAACGGGAGAAGGAGCTATTCAGATGACGGATTTACGAGACCTGCTCGTCGAGATGCAGACGGCGACACAAGCATCCATACACCAGGAAAGTGAGGCATTCACCACGTCATTAGCTGCCATAACAGATCGTCTTCAAGCCCTAACAACAGCCTTAACGACTCGATTGGACCCTCTGATCGACCATGGATTTTACCCATTTTTAGCTATGGTCTATTGGTGTTTTATGTATATTTATATAGATTCTATTTAGAGTATTTTCAGGTTCAGGTACGATATGGAGTAAAGTGGTGATTTTGGTGTCTCTTGGAGCCTTTTGAGTGCAGAGCTGCGCAGACGCGTCAGATGTTTAGATATGGATGGAGATCTTTCTACGGTGCGATTGAGCCCATATTTTGACACATGATATAGCTTCGAGTTAGCTTTCCAATGCCACCAGTTTGAGATCCATCCAACGGTTAGATCAGAAGTTATGTTTGTTTTACTGAAGAGTGATCAGTCTGCCTCGCGAGAGAAAGCTGCCGAGAAGATATGTGCATGTCGATCGATGGGAGACACATCACATCGATCGATATGAATGCCAGAACGTGGGCTGACTATATTTCATGACTGACTGAAGCCCAGAAGATACAACAAAGTTACCAAACACCCTTCACGACTTGAAACCCTATTTATGTTATTTCTAAGCCATTGTTGACAGCTACACACGCTTTCTTTTTCATCTTTTGTTTGATAGCTCTTAGTGAGGAGAGAAAGGTGGAAATCATATCAGAGTTCTCCTAGAACTCCATTGGTTTTGGTTTTACATTATTTATGTTCTTCATCTATGATTTATGTGACAATCTTCATGTCTGAATAGATCCACCTGTTGGATTTACGGTTCAGATAGGTTGTGGGATTAGCCCCAACTATAGATTGCTAAGTTGTGATATTCATTATCATGATGAACCCTAATGTTTGATTCTAGAGTCATGAACTAGAACCATGAACATGATGGCATTAAATCATTAATCATCATTCTGATATCATCCTGTATAAGCTAAGATCCTCTAGGGATAAGCGATAGCCGGTCTATGATCTTGGTGGGCACTATTTCAACTCGATCTGAAGCTATATCGATCAATACTCCTATATAGTAATTGATCGACGACAAGTATATATCGATCGATGTTGCGACAGCGATATCGATCGATATTATCGGCATCAGATCAATGGACGAGTCCAATAGCGACAGCTGATAGATTCATCTAAGAGTTGAAGCTCTTTAATATCATGCATGCAACTTGTTAGGCATCTATAGCATTATAATCCTGATTACCTGAATAGAAACCCTAGATCTAGCAACCATCCTTCCATCAAACAAATCCTTGCCAAGCTGAACAATTATCTTGTTCATCTTGTTGACTACTTTCAAGTTTACTATATTTATTTACTGCATTAATACCTATTAGCCTAGCTTAATCATATTACTATTAGATCTATTAGGTTCCTTATCTCTCTGTGGATTCGATCCCTAAGTACTACAATTGAACCTCTTTTGATGAGAGTAATTCACTCCTTAGGGTAATTTGAGTGATATCAAATTTGGCGCCGTTGCCGGGGAGCTTTGATCGCCATTAGATCTTGTTTAGTTAGATTTAGTCTAGGTTTTGTTACTATTCTAAATCTTGATAATTTTTTTCTTCTTTTTCAGGTACATACATCTCAGTACCAGGAACGATGAATAGAGGATTTCTAGTTCCTTCAAGGAAGGAGCTTGCTGGTTCACGCAAGATCTGTAAGTCTACGAGGGATGTATCGATCGACACCCTCCAACCAGAATCGATCGACAGCGTACACCAAATATCGATCGATATGGCACACCGTCAATCGATCGATAAGATACAAGCAGCAGTGATCGCTAGAGCCAACAAACCTACTAGCGACACTGTTCACCCGAACATTATTCATCCGGCTACTGTTCATTGCGCTACTATTCACACCAGTATTGTTCATCACGCTACTGTTCATCTGGTTACTATTCATCCGAACACTATTCATCGGAGTACTGTTCACCCAATGTCGATTGACCCTGTTCATCCGATGTCGATTGATACTGTTCACCACAAGTTAATCGACACTCATAGTCGAAAATCGATCGACAAAGCCTCGCTGGGAGCAGGTAAGTTTTCTGTTAACACATCTGTTAATCAGGAAGTAGTCCAACTTGAACCAATAGGTAAAATAAGCAATGCAATTAGCCAAAATAAAAATAAACATGGGACCAAAATCCCTGTTACAATCCATTCCACCTTGAATAAAGGTAAAGAAATAAAATTGCCTTTGCAAAACTACAACACCCTTGTTCCCCCGAAATCGATCGACACGGCTCACAACGCGTCGACCGATACAACCCACCTGAAATTGATCAACACGGTACATCCCGAAATCGATCAACACAGCTAATCGCGCGTCGACCGATACTGCATACGAGAAATCAATTGACACCGCCCGTCGCGCGTCGACCAATACTGTTCTTCCAAGATCGACCGACACTGTTTGCGAACAGGAAGAAAATTTTGACTCCGAGCTGAAACTTCAGTACAGCCCTATTATAAGTCAGCGTCTCTTTCATGGTTATCATGACGAGCCACCAACATATCATATTCATATGTTTGAAGAACTAA